GGACTGTAAAGGAATTTTGGATCATCTTTAACTACATCCAGCAGGTGAAGCTCATTACAAGCCCGATGCTGTTTAGACAAGTTGATTTTATTTTTTAAAGATTGCCTTTATAACAGGAAATGTGCTCTAAATAATCCATCACACCCAGACGTGGCTTTTCTAACCTAACAGCCATTATAGCTGGAGTCAGTTTAGTTGTTCTGGGAGGTAAACACGAAATACAAAGAATCTTTTTATGAGCTCCTTTGACGGAGAGCCCAGCTGCTACAATCCTGGTGCAGGACGCGGAGTATTGTGACACATGCTGGTTTTATATGCAAATGAAATGATCAGACTCAGCAGACTTTTGATTCTTTTATTTAAAATTGTCTTTGTGTAAATAAACGTTTTAAACAACAAAGTAAACAAAATCTTTTGTGGGAATTAGAAAATATTCATTCATAGATGATTTGCAGAGTTTTAGTCACCTGACAGGTGTGTCAGCGTGAGCCTGGGACGAGACGCACACTTGTGACAGATGTAAGCTTTGATGAGATTCTTGTTTCCTGAGCTGTGATGTTGATTAGCTGTAAGCTTTTTTTTGTGAAGATGATAGAAAATAAAATAGTTCCTACGTTAAAACGCCCAAACAAGGAATTTGTTTCCCTTCTTGAGTAACCACGAGTGATCTCTAAAAAGAGATATTGCTCAAATGTTTTTCAGCACCACAAGGTGAGTCACATGTACTTCCACCGTATTTAAGAGAAAGCAGATGTGTCTTCAGTGGATATCTGGAAAACCTGGCAACTCTAACCCACATGGATAAATAGCACTACAGGCCAGAGGGGGAAAAGATTTTTAGGTGAACTGTTCCTTTAATCAAGATGTGAGAAGAATGCGTCCATGGTAACAACAAAAAATGACCCTTTTGCCTTCAATTCGAACCAAATATCTTGGTTCGAGTCACCAACGCCAAAGATTAAAAAACTGAATAGTAGAATAAATGTGTCTTTTTATGATCTTTTGGATCATTTTACTAATTAAATATATGTTCGACCTTCATTTACCGGAGTTTCAACATCAGTGATGGTTGTGATTTAAATATTTCTTTAAACCGACAGCTCAGTGGGTGTTCAGATGCTGAACACTGTCCTCATTTCACTATTAAAAATAACAAAAGGAGCTTTTTAAAAAATAATAATTGGTGGCTCAGAAAAATCCTTAAAGTGTTACTGTATCTGAAATTTCTTCCTAGATGAATCAAAAAGTTAAAAACACAAATAAGCCTGTTGAACATGTGAAGAGCAGTGACTGTCCTGCCATCAAAAATGTTTTTAAAACATCTGCATCATGCTGTTATTTTAAACAGATGATTAACAAAACCCCAAAAGTTGAACTTTCAACTTTCCCTTGAACCTGCGTCACTTCACAACAGAGACAGATGGAGACAGCGTTGAGCTTGACACAGGATGGAACTTGCAACATGAATTATGTAATCAACACATGCAATGTTGCTCGGTGTAAAAGTACAGTGTTGCATTATTTCTGCCTTTTGGTGACACACACACTGCTCTGCTCAAAGGCTGTTTTCATAAATAGTTGCAGCAGCTGAAAAACTACAAGTTCTCCATCCTCCATTATAAAGATGAGAAACGAATAATGCAGACAGTAGTGATGTGCGATACCACTGATTTCCTTTCCGATCCGATACAAAGTAATATTCAGGGTGATATCGACGATACTGATCCGATACCGATACTTTGTACAAAAACTTATTTTATTTATTGTATCTCAAATCATAGCGTCATAATGATTACAGGACATCAGATTACTTGTTCTTATCACTTAATAATGCAGAGTTCATCATATAGAAATAAAAAACTGAAGTTGTTATTTGAACTATTTGCTATTTGAACAGTTGCCTGCCTGCAGCACTAAAGGACTCCGTGAGAGACGTCTGTCCCTGTCCTCCTCTTCAGTTCGCCTCAACATACGCGCCTCATATTCTGTGATATGATTTACTCTGAGGTGTTTGACAGGTTAGTGATGTTGCCACAACCATACATGCCAACCCTCCCGATTTCCGACAATCCCGGAGCCACCATTCTCCCGAATTTCCACCTGGACAACAAAATTGAAAAACCATATCGCAGAATTCATACCGCGGCCCAGCCAATTCGCTACTCGGGTTAAACATGATGTATAAGTCACTTTGATAACTTAAAAATGTTATTGTTTGGCTTTTTCAGTGTTTTATTTGTTCGTGAGTAAATCGGTTTGGCTGAGATTAAA